ACACTCGACAACTGAGCATTAGGGCTCCAAATCAACAACCATATCAAAGATCCTGTGAAGCCACATGGCACAAAGTGCTGATCTTTCATACAGTAGATTTTTCTGTTTACATTTATTTAAAAATTGTTAATGGATCATCTCCATACCAGGAAGCTCACATTCAAACCAAACCTAATTTGTGCTGCCCACTGACTTGGCAACTTTCAGGCCTGGTACTGAAGATCATGAAGCCAGGTACCAATCTTTCAACCTCTGTACTGATAGCAGATCACTTACCTTTACAACATCTTCTCTCATTGCTCTTCATGCTCCTTTCTTTTGATACTACATGCATAAGCAGACCTCATGTCCCTTTCACCTTCCTATCTAATTTTAACATCACAGTTTCTTTTTTTCTTTTTTTTTTACATAACGGCTCCTTAGATATTTCACTATAATGTGCTCGTGTTTTACTTAGTCACTCAACAATTAGCTTGTTCAAGGAGGCAATCATACAAAGGGGTTAGCAAACACCTACTTAGATCTTAAATCATTCCATCATACAGTAATTTCATACTGTTCTATTGTAATGCACATAGCAATGCGCATTTGGGCTTTTCACAACAAGGACATCACCATCACACAAATATATCAGAAACATTACTAATATAAAAGCAATGAAAGGCTACAGAAAGACATATTCTGCCATAATCTCTGTAAGAAAAGCTCAATAGCAAAGCTCATTCTACCCGTAACCTACTCGATGCACCAAAATTGAAAGCATACATCACCACTCATAAGGATCCACTTCCTACAAAGTCATAGAAAACAGATGCAGCCGTGAAGGAATTCCACTAGACGCCATTAAGCGGCAGGTTTTGGTAGAAAGGTTTTGCAAAAGTAAGTTTCTAAAAAGGCTTCTGTTATACTGACAGTGTTTGACTAGTGTGAAAACTACAAGCACTGTCTCACTTTAGCAAGTAACAAGCTAACAAGGGGATTCATACTGGAATTATGCACACTGTAAGTAACAAAGTTTCTTCACAAGCTGAAATCAGAAAGCCTGTAAACAGAAATTCGTCTTTACTGAACCTAGTTTAGCATTTGACAGTAGAATCTGACAGAGCACCTTCATTCAAACTATTAAAAAAAACAGATGCATGATACTGCGTGTGGTCACAATCCGAGGCAGGGATGCAGAGGAAGACTATTTCATAAAAAAAGAATGGATGATATTTGCTAAGGAAGGTCTCATTCAGTTTCCCTTTTAACATTATTGATGGGATTCAAAGTACAAAATTACTGACAGCACTACAGGCCAACAAGCCAGATGAGCACCATACTGGTCACCTGGCTGGTATTCCTTGCAAGCCTTACATGAAAAAACTTCAGGCTATTTGAAGTAGTTAATTTTCACCTGCGGGAACATAAATAGTTTTAGCCAATCTGTTCTCTCCCAACAATTTAGCAGAGACCAAACAGAATCTATATTTATTTTCCCAGAGCATTTTAGTTGTAGTTTGAAGAAATCGAACATAACCACTTATCTAATAAACGAGACAACGAGTAACGTACAAGTAAGATGTCACCATTCATATTTACTGGCATCTGAGGAATGCACTACTAATTTAAGCCGACACTCAAAGACAAGTCTGAAAACACCACAGAATTTTTTTGCATTACAGCTGTTCAGGATTTTTTCCTCCTAGCTAGGCTTTTTAGCTGTCAGGGCCAGGTATTCTTTTCTCAAGGGCTCTGAACAAGTGAAGATCATTTTCCCATGTTTCCTATACCTAGGGTTAATACAAATAATATGCCATCAGAACACTCAATTAGGAGAACATATAAAGAAAAAAAGTTTCCATTTACACTCTCAATGCTTCGCGACCACCAAACATCAAAAAGGAGCAAGAACTTGTTTCTTATTTATCAAGTCTTTAAACATAGTGTTCTGGCACAGCTAGATAAAATAAGACCATTCCTGAGCAGAAGACCGAACACGGGTGAAGAATGAACAGGATGTATGTTTCATAATTAAAGAAAGCACTGAAAAAGCAGTTACAACTCACTCAATGGTTCTTGAGACATAACTACAGACAAAGACATCAAAGAACAGAAGTGTAGAGCATCTATAGGTCAACAACAGAATTTCTTCTCTGTTTGCACTTAGATGTCAAAAAAATTAACGTGTCAAGTAAAATGGCAGGATATATACCTAGCAGATACCTAAAAGAAAAACATAAAACGTTGAGAAAGATGTCGTTTTACTTCAGGGCTGAAGTTCAAACTCCTATTCTGCTTCTGACATACTCAGCAGCTCTCATAACACAGAGGGCACTGAAGCAGAGAGGTCTTGACACAGCTTTCCCAGTTGATACACAGAAACCTACACTTAACATTTACTCGCTCATACTTTAAGATGTGCAAACCCAAGAACGCACACACAGACCTGCACTGTTCTAACTGAGAGTTTAACTGAAGTTTCTAACACCGGTGGCCAATAACTAGAAATACTGAATGCTTTGCCCAATTTTGATCTAGGCACATTCACACATGGACGATGCTCCTCTGTCTATAACACCAATATTTGAGAAAACGATGACTTCTAAGGTTAAGACACAGTTAGAGTTCCGGAACGCCACAAGATTTCAGTTTAGCTGTGGGACCTGCCCCCACACCAAGCACCTTTATCCTGACCGCGCCGAAATAGGGAGTGGAGGAACTGGGCCGACAGATGTAATTTCCACACAGGGCACGCCTAATGGGCCTTGGTAAAAACCTCACTATCGGTCGCATGACCGCACCTGACAGCTTTCACCCCACTTGCACCTTCGCGGGCACGAGCAGCCGCACCGGTCAGACAAGCCGCAAGGAAAGACCCCCTGCTCAAGAGATAAAACCCCAGGAAACAACCCGAAGGGACGGGCGGAGCGGCGGGCCCCGGGGGGGAGGCCAGT